AGAAGGGGGGGGTGGGGTGAGCCCGGAGGGCAGGGGGGAAGGTGGGGAGACAGAGAAGACTGAAGCCGGATCACCTTCCTTTTGTGCCCGCGCCCTCACCCCCTCACCCCCTCACCCAGCGTGGTGAAGGCCCTGCGGTTGGTGTAGCGGCACTTGGCGCGGAGCGGGTGCACCAGGCCGTGGTGCCGCTCCACAGCGATGCAGGTCAGGGTGAGGATCTCCGTCACCACGGCCGTGCACTGGGCGAAGGGCACCATCTTGCAGACGAAGGCACCTGTGGCCGGGAGACAAGGGACACATCAGAGGGGGGACGCTGGGTCTGCGTGGGGATGCGTTCATGCTGAGCCTCTGTCAAAGGCTCTGTCTGCAGCTACACCACAGAGCGCCGTGGCCCAGAGGGTACCCGCGGGCAGGTGGGCTCCCTGAGGGGCTTCTGAGCTCCCAGGCTGTGTAACCCAGGAACAGAGCGGTGACAGGGCCTTTGAGACAGGCAGCAGCAGGCGGCCTGGCTCTCCCTGCAGGAGAGGAGGGGGGTGTGGGGGCAGCCTTCTGGGCCCCACAACCTTTGGTCCTTCCCTCGGGGGCCTGCCAGTCACACACAGGACCAACTCTCCCCAAAGACGCCCACACCCCTATTCCTCTGCTCTGCTCCTCCGACCTCCTCCTGCCTGGTCACCTAGTTCCTCCCTCAGCGGCTTTCACTTTCTCTTTCTTAAGCCCGTGGCCCCGGGCAAGCCCTGGCTGCAGACGTGGCTGCCATGATATTGTTTTGGATCTGTGCACCCACTGCAGCCTTATGTGTCTGACGTCTTCGCATCTGTGTTTGGGAGCCCGGCCTGCCGTCTCCGTGGCAGATGCGTCTTGCTCGTTGCCACCACATGCATTGCTCTGCACGGTCACCTGGGCATCAGCTCGGGGACAGAGATCGCTGAGAAGGCCTGTGGGCCACACTGTCCCCACGCTGAAGCCCATCCCCCTCCCCTTTCCTCAAACGCGCTGCCACGCTCTGCTGGGCGGGCTCCTGCGGGCTCACCCATCCCTCCATCCCTTCCTTCAGGGGAATGACCTCCCCAGTCCCACCCTCACGTCCTGCACTGGAGTCTTTGCTCAGATGTCACCTTCTCAGTCGGGCCGGCCCACTGTCCCCTCCCGCCTCTCAGTCCCCGTCTCTCTTATTCCACTCTCCCCGCTTGCTCTGTCTCCTGCACTGACGGTTGGTTTTATTGTTTGCTGACTGTCCCCGGACCTCTGAGAAGGTAAACACACCGAGAGCCAGGCTTCTGCCCCTTCATGCGCCCAGGCCCGTGCGGTACCCACGGCGGCTCTCAGCGAGCTCACCCTGAGTGAGCCACAGGAGGCTCTTAGCCACGCAGGGGCCTCCTTTCCACCTGGGAGAGGCCGCCTGGGAAACGACGCCTTCCCTGATCCCGCCCCTTCTCCTGCAGCTCTCAGGGAGTTTCAGACACCAGACGAGTCTTCCCAGTGTCCCCAACTGTTCCTCAATGGTCCAGGGGGACCCCCGTGCACAGGGGGGGCCTGGCTAACGCAGAAACCATACGACTGCCCTGTCTTCCTGGGTCTAAACACCCTCTTCAGTGACTGCGCCTGAAATGTTCACACCTTTTGTGCTAGAGTTTCCAAATGGTCGCTTTACATTGAACTTGGAATCAAACTTGAAACGAACGGGGGCCACGTAATAGACAGTTTCTGTGACTCTGAGATTCCTGTGACTCAGGGGAAATGGATTTAGGTGTTGCTCCCGATACTGCCCTTCCCGCCCTTCTCCGAAGCTCCAAAGGGCGACCAAGAGCCAGTCACCGCCCCAACCCTGGTCCAGTTCCCCAAATCCTAACCCTGCCCAGAGGCAAGGCCTCTCTTGCCCGGCGCCATCGTTTAGATCAGCGGTTCTCAACCTTCCTAATGCTGCGACCCTTTAATACAGTTCCTCATGTTGTGGTGACCCCCAACCACAAAATTATTCTTGTTGCTACTTCATAACTGTAACTTTGCTACTGTTATGAATCGTAATGTAAATATCTGATATGCAGTATTTTCATTGTTACAAATTGAACATAATTAAAGCATAGTGATTAATCACAAAAACAATATGTAATTATATATGTGTTTTCCGATGGTCTTAGGCGACCCCTGTGAAAGGGTCGTTCGACCCCCAAAGGGGTCTCGACCCACAGGTTGAGAACCGCTGGTTTAGATGCTAAGTGCAGGAATTTCCTTTTGATACTAATACATTTTGTGGTTTGAACACTGCTCCTACTGTGAATGAAGTAGCTTTACTTCAAATCCTGTTTTGTATGTGATACTTGTGTAAATGAACACATTCTTTATCTGCACATTCATCCTCTCTTTGAAATTTTGATGAGAATTTCTTCTATTCTTTCAACCAAGTTGTGTTGTTATTTTCTTAAGGTGGACAGTCCAATGTTAAATGAGCATCAGAAGAAACGTTCCTTGCAATGGACACGGAACCATCATCACACAGTTCAGGCATAACTATCCCAACAAATGAGAATGACTGTCGCAGTGGCGTCTCCTTGTAGCGCTATCCATCTTGCCCATCGTAATCGCGTGGGACATTGGCCCCCTGACTGCCTGGTGTCATCTGATTCATCCAATCTTGGTGGTAGGTGCTCTGAAGCCCAATGTCACCCTCTGTGAAAAGGGACGGATAAGACCCACCCGTCCCGTGAGTACATGTGAGTATTTCACACAATGCGATGAGCACCGGGTACCGGATATGTGTTTGAATAAATGGCAGCTTTTCGTCATCATCAGGCAGCCAAGCTAAAAGCATTGAGCTCAGTGTGGCACAGTGGAGGTTGGCAGGTTGCTTGTGGCTCACCTGCCCAGCGCAGGACACCTCGTTCTACAGGCTTATTTCCCAGTGATGATGCCGCCGCACAGAGGAGAGGTGCCCTCCCGAGGGCCACACAGCTGTGTGTGACCGCATGGAGCCGGGCCAGGTCACGACGCCCTGTCTCAGTGCAGCTCTCGTCCATTTGCTCACACGTCACCTGTTCCATAGTCCGCGGGACAGGTCTGCACCAAGCCCTCGTTCTACTCTCTGTCATCTTGCCCTTGTTATGAATCCAGACAGCATTCGCCCAACGCACTACTTCTGACGTTTTCTCCAAGCAACTTGCTCAGAAGTCGCCAACACTGGTCACATCCAAACTTGGTCACATCCCCGAGTTCCGTCCATGTCCTGCATGGAGCTTATCTCGGCTGAAGATCCGAGTTCTTCTAAAAAGCAGGTAAGTGCTCTTCGGCTCCCTCCTCATTTATCTTGATCTTTGTTCCTATTCTAACCTGCTCTGCTTTGCCCTTTTTAACTTGGGGATCGTTTTTCAAAGTCTGGCGGCCTGGAGCAAAGGAGGCCCTGAGGACTTCGGTTTTGTCTCTGCCCTTTACGAAATGTCAACTACCGACCCTCCCTTCACTTTTAGCTCCTGTTTCTGGTGGCTCTTCAGTGCTCTCCTTCTACATGTTAGCCTTCCCAATGGACTCGTGCAGGTCTAAGCTGTTTTGCAAGAATGTGTCCTTTGTGACATTTCTTCCCATAAATGGCAACCTATGGGAAGCGCTGGCCAAGTGGCTCCACTGGTTGAGTGTAGACCTGTACACCAAGAGGTTGGGGGTTCAATTCCCGATCAGGGCACATGCCCAGATTTTGGGTTCAATCCCAGGTCAGGGATCAGGGAACGTATGGGAGGCAACCCATTGATGTTTCTCTCTTTCTCTCTCTCTCTCTCTCCCTCCTCCTTCCTCTCTCTCTCTCTAAAAATCAATAACAACATATCCTCAGGTGAGGATTAAAAAATAATAATAAAAATAAACTGGGATAATCCTAGAATTCCTGGTGTAGGGCACTGTTTCTTGGGATGCCCTTCCCTTTTTTCCATCTGGGGCAGTCAAGTTTTAAATCAGTGTGCTTCTCAGAGCCTGCCTAGAAAGGCTAGTTCTTATATTTTCATTGTCCATCTACCTGCATTTCTCAATCTCAACACAATTTCCTCTGGTGCATGAACTCTGCTCCCTGTGGGCAGGTGAGGTAGGAGCCCCTCCTGGGGAGACAGGCAGACATAGGTCCTCCCAGGGTTGCAAGAGCCAGTGAAGATGAAGAGGGTTGAAGGTATGCGGTCCGGTGCCCACCAGGTCACGAGCGACCACGGACCACAGCTTAGATGCTGCTGCCGACCTCTGAGCACCCTTGGCCCCTGCTTGTTCCTCCAGTTTCACACCGATCCTGTGTGCCTCCAACATCCTTCTAGTACATTCCCTTCTCAGCGGTTCTCAGAACGAAGTGAACTTACTTGACATCCTTTTTGTTTGTTACTTTTTCTCTAGCAGGTACATTGCCTAAAGTGCAGAATAGGCTGGTCAATGCTCCTTCTGACAGCACAGTCCAAATCTGAAGGTTTCAGTTTGCCTCCATCGCTGCTTCCATTTCTACTTGAAAACTGCAATGGTTCCCCTTTGCCTACTGGATCGGATTAGAAGCAAATGCTTTGGTTTAATATTTATCACTCTCCTGCCTTAACTTGCTTATGCAGTTTTATTTCCAGAAGGTAAACGCTTTTCTGGGCACGAATGGTGTCCACTGACCTATACTCACACCCGCCTTCACCTCCCATCACACACAGTGCAGGCCTCAATAATTTAAATAGGGATAAGAGCTCATTATTTCTAAAAATGAGGCTTGGAAATAGAAAACAATTGGGCCAGTATTTTTTTTCACTCCAGTGTAACAGTGACTCTCAAAAGGATTCAAGTGAAAAGGACAGAGTGAAACGAACAGAGTACTCACATGCAGGAAAGATGAAAATCATTCTTAGGTTAATTTAGAAAATGCTATAATGAACTATAATTACATGAAAGCATCTAATGATGATATCCACTCTGAAGAATTTGTTCCAAGGTTGAGTAAAAGAAAACAATGTGAGTTGATTTTGTTCTTCTTTTCTAGCTCTTTAAGATGTAATATTAGGTTCCTGGGATTTGAGGAAATAATAGAAGTTAGAGCAGAATGGAATGAAATAGAGAATAAAAATACTATATAAAAATTAATACAACAAAGATCTGGTTCTTTGAAAAGATTAATAAAATTGACAAACCCCTGGTTAGACTCACTAAGAAAAAAAAGAGAAAAGACCTGGATAAACAAAATCAGAAATGAAAGAGAAGTCACCAAGACATCACAGATATACAAAGGATCATACTAGAGCAGTGGTCAACAAACTGCAGCTCACGAGCCAC